GCCTTCTGCCACGGTGGTCAGGCAGGAACCGGCCCTGAAGAGCTGAATCTGCTCTCTGCAGGTCGTGGCCCTGAGGGCAGTTACCGGTTTTCCTCCGAGTGCAAGATGATTCAGCCCTCCTGTACCCGTCACTTCTGAAATGCTTACCTGTTCCCCCTACAACTAATTTCACACTCGTTGCTGGTTATTGTTGGTGATGCTGTGAGCGCTGGGCTGTTTTCCTGGCCGGCTCCTGTGTGGTCCTACAGGAATACAGTGTCTCCGGCAGAAACAGCTCCTTTAACTGTTTAAAGTTAAATGGGAGATAATAAATTAGTTTAGGCTATGGTGATGTGTTTTATAACACGGGAGGACACGTACCTTGTGCTTGTCTTCTCAGGCATGCTTTGTGTGAAGAATTCCGAGCGTGGCTTTCTGCTGTGACCCAGATAGAGCTGGAGCCAACTATTGACATCTCCTGTGCTAAATATGAATATACTGGTCAGTCTATAAGCGATCCTTTCCCCAAAGCTTCTATAGGTGTATAGGAAACTAGAGAATAATTCATTGCATAACCCACCACAGCCCCTTTCTAGTTCCAGAGGGTCCTAGAAGCTATCAGCAGCAAACCAAAGTCTCAGAAAATGAAGTCCCAATTATGGAAAAACTCTTGCTGCAGTCACGTTGCTGATGGCTTTAACTGGGCCCAGTGTTGTTGCAAGCCCCTGCTTTTTTGGAGATGTGCAGCCCGTGTTTGCATGCCTGCTTCCATGCACGGTTATGACGTGTTCAGTTTCCAAATGCTACTATTGAGTTTGTGAAGTCCGATGCTAAAATGTCACCTTGGTGAGTCCAGGTTACAGCTGCTCCTAGCCTTTTAGTCATGAAAAATCACTGTAGGAAGGGGAAAGCTTTTACTGCTGTCTGCTCTACTTTTTAAGAGCCTTTTGCGCAACCAACTGTTGGTCCAGCTTTTCTGTTCCCAAGGCTCCCCCCCGCTCTATTCCAGCAACAAACCTATTCAAAGGGCAGTTCTGTAGTTAAAAGAGCTTGAATCATTATTTAGCTCAGGAATCTCTGTCCGCTGTGCCCGGTGACAGCCGTGGAAGGGTGGATGATGAGTTATAACTGCCCGTACCTTCAGAGTGGGCTAATCTGCCAATTGCAGTGCAATCCCACAGAAGTTAATCTTGCAAATCTTGGGCTGGTGATGCTGACAAGTGAAAATGCAGTTCTTGGAGAGGGCGTGTTTTTTCTTGTTGTATCCTTGTGGGGACAAAGCTGGGAAGCAGCCGTTGGAATGAATCATGTGTGTACTGGAAAGGCGCTACTGCAGCAAAACGTATGTAATTGCAGATGTCTTGCTGTGCCACGATGATGAGCTGGAAGGCCGGAGAATTGCTTTCATCCTGTACCTCGTGCCACCCTGGGAGAAAAGCGACGGGGGAACGCTGGACCTGTATAGCACAGATGGTAAGAGCTCCGAGCTCACCCTCAGGTGGCTGAAAAAGATGAAGCTTATGTGCCCCTTGCAGGAACTCTCTCCTCAAACAGTACAAGGAAGATAAAAGAGTTTCTCCTTAATCCAGAGAAGCTGATGTATATGTAAAATTTGCACCTTAGAGATGGGCTGTAGCAGTCAGTCTTTGCAGACAATGCTAATGGGCAACAGTAGAGAAAAGGAGAAGCTAAAGATGAGGGGAATCTTTTTTTTTCCCCCCACTTTTTTGCAAGGGCCAAGAGTGGAGGCGATGCTTGGAACTCTAAAGTGATGGGGATAACTTCCCTTTCCAGCAACAGAAGTCTGCTGATTCCTCACCAAGCCCTTGCTCTGGGCTCCATCCCTTATACCCAGGTGTCTCGCCAGCCGCAATGTCATGAAGTCAGAGAGAAATGGCAGTTTCTAGTGAGTTCCAGTTCATATCTTAACCAGAGTATGTTTTCTTCCTCCTCAGAACACTTTCAGCCACAGCAAATTGTCAAGTCATTAGTGCCTTCGTGGAACACGCTCGTTTTCTTTGAAGTGTCTCCAGTCTCTTTCCACCAGGCAAGGAGCTGTCTCTTGTTCATTTTTTGATTCTCATTGTTGTGGTTATTCACTCTGTGTGTTATTACAGTCCTGATGGGGAGGGAGAAGGGAAAGGGAGAAGTGTGGGTAGAATGGATCCTCATGCTAAGCGCTGTGTGTTAAAGGCAAGGGCTTCAAGGAGGACACGAGCTGACAAAGCCAACTTAAACCGTCACTCTAGTTTCATCATCTTGAGGGGAGAAAACTTCCATCTGTTTTGTGTTGCTCTCCTGGCAAGCCACTGCTGTGGATTTGGCTGTGGCGATGAGAGAGATTTTTGTTTGTTTGCTTTTAAACTAGCTCACATTTTTCATGCGGATGCCATGACTTTGCTCCAGAAGAGCTCCTCAGCACATCACCTTGCCCATAGGGCACTTTGCAGATACAGCTTTACCCACTCTGTAATGTAGATGTAGTGCCGTACCCTGCAGTAGAAATGCTGATACGGTTAAGTAGCACTTCATGGCACTTATCAGGAAGATGGCTGGAAACAGGATGAATAATCTGTGGAACTGCATGATACAAACCCCTGGCTGAAATTTGAAACTCCTGTGGACTTGAGAATACCATGGACTGTAACAAACAGGGCCAAAGAGCAGAAGGTTGGAGAGGAAGATCATCAGTGATGTAGACTGGCCGTGGCCTCACCTAGACTGCTTAGGGTTTTATTTTTGTGTCATTTGTGTCTTACAATTAATTAACAGAAGCATCTACTTGGTCACTGCCCTAATTGCTTTCAGGTAGTGGTTTAATCTTGTCATAAAAATCCATGTTCCACTTAACCTTGTGACTGCCTCCTACTAACCTAAACATAATCCCACACATTAGCACTATTCAGAGTCCTGTGCAGAGTCTCTGATACTGTTAACACAGGCAATGAACTCAGTTTAAATCATAAACTTATTTTTAAAATAAGCATTAATCTTAACTGGGAGTGCCATGAATCAAAGCCTCCCAGCTCTGGACCTCGCTGGTTGTGCCCAGAGTATTTGCTGAACCACTGAATCATTTCTTTGATCCTTTCGTCAGTAAAGCATAGAGCCTGCAAATTACGGTTAGAGGACCGCGTAAGGGTCAGACTGATACGAAGCCTTCGCAGCACATGCCAACCTTAAATCCCTCTCAGGCATTGGGCAAAGAGCATTTAGTCAGTACTTCCTAATAGATCTTCAGGTTTTGGCCTTCATGGTTTACATTTCTTCAGGAGATAGCAAATAAAGCTGTGGGTGTTTGCTGAGCAGAGCGGGTCCATGAGCTTCAAATGCCAGGCATTTTAATGGTTTCCATTTCCCAAGTGATTTAGGATTCGGTAGCTATTCCAAATAACCTAGAACACCTCTAAGTCATGCAAGGAAAGGGCCACTACAGCTCTGTAACAATCAATAAGAGCCAAAACCTTTTCGGAACAGACTGTGTTTCTTCCTCCTGTTCCATCAGACTGTTCTAAAAAAAAAAAAAACACAGTGCAAAGTCTTTATGTGCTATTCAAAAATTCACAACAGTTTGTGGCTTGCAACCAGTCATAAGGGGATGGCTCTCTCTTCACACTACTGTTACAGTACAGCACCCTAGAATGTGAAATTGTTCAATTTAGCCTAACGTACCTCTGCACAATATGATGAAATCAAATTTCACAGAAGCCATCACTGTGTGAAAACCAAGGGTTTCCACAGACCAGGTTAAATGCCAGGATAGAGGGGCTGCTCTTAGTCTGCTAGATAGGTGGAGAAAGAGCCAAAGGTATCAGGCAAATGCCCTTCATGATGGCTTGTGTTACAGCACTTTTTAAAAAGTAAAGGACAAAAAAGTAGACCAGTATAGTCTGCTGTGGCCCACAGATGCTCAGTGTTTTCTGAGTTTCCAGATTAAGCTGTGATGGCTCATTTTTGCAGCCTGGGGTAGCTGGTTCTTCAACAGAATAAATGGTAGAAAAATAAAATGCAGTTACTTTTAATAGCAGAATGACTCAAAGCTTTCAGAGAGAGGGAGTGGATTCTGCTGGGAGCTTGGAGTAAAAGCTTGGACTGTGATTCTTGAAACCTACAATGGACTTGAGCATCAGAGTTTGCTTTAAGCCTTCTTTCTGTAAGCCAAGAATAATCCAGCCTGGTCTAGCCCTTGTCTGACTTCTCTGTGTATGCAGTAGGCTCTCCAGAGTCAGGTCCATCTCCTACATCGAGTCTACGTGGTGCCCGTTACAGCTGGTCCTTAAATGTTTTGTAGTCTAAACAGTTAACATGCTGCTCAACGTTGTTCCAGGTGTCAGAAGTTCTGTCTGAGGAGAAGTGCCGCTTGTCAGTGAGCGGCTGGTTTCACGGCCCATCAATAGTGAGACCTGCACGCCACATGGAAGCTGCCTTGCCCAGGAGCCCACACATCCCCTATGATGTGAGTAACAAGCCTACATCTGCTTATCTGCATTTCTATTTCAGTCATGTTCCTGGAATACCTGTTACGGGATGCGCTGATGCTTGGGGATGCTTTAATCTTTAACTTATCCCATTCTCTCGTTTGGTTTCCTGCCCATAAATTCGTAGTTTGTTTCTTTCTTGTATATCTTGACTCTGTATATTTTGCATACCTACAATAGTGCAGAGAACGCAGCAAATACTCGTGGTGCAATGAAATAATGATATAAAGAAAGGAATGGAGTGTGTGTGGGGAGGAATCCAGCCCTGTGGCCAGCTGGGTAAGGGGGAATTGGGGAATCCTTTTTACTTTTGCAAGTTTAGCATTCAAATCCATTTCCCTTCCAGCATGAAATCTTATATGAGTGGATCAATCTAGTTTATTTGGACATGGACTCCCAAGCTCAAATCCAGGAGGAATTTGAGGAGCGATCAGAAATTCTCCTGAAAGATTTTCTTAAGGTAAGCCCAGTGGTTCAACCTGATGTGGTCTGCTAGAACAGGTCACAGCGCTGGCAGGTACCACATGTCATGCAGGCTGGGAGAGGCCTTGCTTGTTTGGCTGTTAACTAAAACACCTTCTAGTTTCACTCCCTAAAGGGGAATGGACCAGATGACCTCCAGAGGTCCCTTCCAACCTCACATTCTGTGATTCTGAGGGTAGATCCCCTCTGCCTGCCCATACGCTGCTGCACAGGGACTCATCAAAAATCACAAACTTTGCTTCAACATTCTTGTTTCCTGCAAGAAGCAAAGCAGAAGGATGGAAACACATGTCATCCTTCCTGCTTCCTAGCCTTGTGGTGACCAGAGTGTCCTTCCCGGTCCCTCAAGCTCTCGCAGCACTTGGGGAACCCAACCTGTGTGTGAAACAAGTGACCCATAATGGTTTGGTCTTACTTGAAAGGCTTTGCTTCTCAAGGCTGATTCACCTCTGGTTTACTGGGCATCATCCATATCTCAGTGAAACTGCATTCTCACCCAGCAGACAATCAAGTAGCATTTGATGCTTGTTGGTCACCGGCACTGAAAAGACGTGATGCCCACCCAGGCTATGCCCCTCAATTCAGCAGTCCTTAGGCACCTCAAACAAGTTAGGAAAAAAATTAGAGTGCCTTATCTGAGACTAGTCAATGACTGCTTCTAGCACACCAAGGGAGACCTGGGAGCTAAATGTTAACATTTCTGCACTATCTTTCTCTCGCAGAAAGAGAAATACCAACTACTGTGTGAAGCTTTGGAGAACAAAGACATCCAGTGGAGTAGCCGGGGGCCTGCCAATAAGAGGTGGGGAATGACAGCGCCCTGCACCTATTGATCAGGCCAAGCAGGAGCTGCCATGAGGCTGCACTGGTTGATGCTGCCCCCATGGACGTGGTCCTTGTTGGTTCCCCACTGCTGATACCTCTGCTGTCTTTCAGACTCTATGAGACAGGAGAGGAAGACAGCCTCCCTGACATCCTGAAGAAATTCCTGCAGTTCTTACACTCCGAGGCCTTGTTTTTACTGCTTTCTAACTTTACTGGCCTAAAGCTGCACTTCCTGGCTCCCTCTGATGAGGATGAAGATGCTGGGGAAGGAAGAGCAGCAGACACTGCCGGGCACAGCAGTCCCAAACCTGAGCAGGAAGAGGCTGAACAACACGCCGATAGCAATCCCCATCAGCCTGACAACATCCCTGAAGCACAAGACAGCGAGACGCAGAATGGTAAGTCAAACAGCGGCAGCGTGAAAGGACTTGAGCAGAATCCTGACATTAAGGATGCTGGCAGCAGAATTCCCAGTGATTTTCATGGAACTAGCATTTCACCTTGTGCTGCAGCCGGCACGAGGCACCAGCACAAACATGGGACTTGAAGCATGTCAGGCTGGGTATCCAAAATAAGCGACCATTGCAAAAGAATTTGGAATAAAATAATGACTAACTTGAAGATACCATTTTGAACAGACTTAAGTCTTAAGGGTGGGACTTCTGTAGGAGTCAAGGCATGGGTGAGGAGCGGGGGTGTTAATTAATTGCCCAATAATCTTTTGCCAATAGTTACACTCCTGCTTCATATAAAGCAGATTCTTGTATGAGACCAAATCAAAAGGAAGAAAGTAAACAAACCAGAAGTAAAGATAATTAGAATTAGAAAACAAATACCTAAAAATAGGATTTAACCTTTCAGAAAATGCTGCCAGCCTAAATAATCACTTAGTTGTCAGCAATGAGATATCATTGCTATAAAAGATTAGGTTAATTTTGGATTCATGGATTGGTGCTGTTTATTTAAAATGGTGGCTTTGAAGTTTAAGGGTAGAATTTTTGAAAATGCTCATCTTGTACTGAGTCAGACAAGTTAGCGGACACTGAAATAAAAGGTAATAAAAAAAATAAGTCCCACTGAAAATCCCACTAGAGCACTTACCTGGCACAAAGGCTTTGTTTTTCTGATTTCCACAGCTAGTCATTTTGCCTCTTCTATCTGCCATGTTCCCGCCGTGTGATTTTAAACTCACATATGAGGAGGGCATAGTTTGGGGCCGCATGGATTGAAAACTGAGTTAGAGCAATGAGGGGAAAAAAAAAAAAGGCTTCCCCAAATTCTGATGTACCTCCTGGGATGGCACATGAAGAGTGAGTTCAGAGCAATATCCTTCTTCACAGAAGCATCTGGTAGCTTCAGTACTTCAAGAACAGATAGGTTGCTGGCTCTTGAAGTTTGGAGCACTAGTGCAAATCTTGGGGGCAAAAAAAAACCCCAAAACAAAACGAGGAACTGGTTAAACCAAAGCACATCGCAGCTTGGCCCTTTTCAAAGAGCAAACCTTGGCCTCCCTCCTCCACATTGGTCAAAGGACATAATTTGGAGCCACCTCCGGAAAAGAAGTTAACGTGAGATCTGTGGTTTGACTTTTTCTTCCCTTCACACTTTCCTGGGGCTGGCCAACGCAGCTCCACCACGGCGTGGCTGTGCAGGGGCTTGTCCCCTACATGCCTTGGGCTTCGCAGGCGTCAGCTATTGTATGGCTTCATTGTTTTCCCTGGCTTGTTTGTTCCCCCTTCCAGGCTCAGGTACCCCTGTGTGTGCGGGGGAGCTGAGGCGCTGGACCCACGGGCACTATACTCTAGTCCATGACACTCAAGCAACAGAATTTGCTCTTGACCTGCTCTTCTTCTGTGGCTGTGAGGGTAAGTGGACAGAAAAGAGAGATCAGACTCTCCCTACAAGGTTTGCATAAAGGAAGGACTTCTGAATTCTCAGCAGTGCTACAGTAGCCAAAATTTCCCTGCTTTTTCCTACATAGAAGAGCTCTGCAGACTTTTTCCTAGTCCTCGCTTCTGTATCAGGCCTGGTTTCAATAGCCCTCACACAAGGATTTGGGGTTGTGGCCTTGGGATCAGCTTTGGCCTTTCCTGCTGGAGCCAGGAGGTGGCGCTTGGGCAGAGGGAGAGGCCGCGTCTCCCAGACCTTCCCTCACTCAGCAGTGGCTCTGGGCATGGCGGAGGGTCAGGTGGCCAGAATACCCAGTGCAAGTCTTCCATTTTGCCCCTTTTCTCATCAAAATTATCACTGCACCTCCAATTCACAAAGCCCAGGGTTTTCAAAAGTTACTTTAGGAACGTCTGGGCATTTTAGGTTGATTGCTAGTTAGATAGTGGTGAAAACAAAAATCTAAACATAAGCATTTTCGACCAGCTGAGCCCAGAATGCACGGCTGAAACCACCTGGCACATGCCAGTGATTATACTGAAAGCCTTTTGCATATCTGCTAAGGCAAAACTGCTCTACGTGTGAGCAGAGAGCCAAGCAACCTTAAATGGCCTGTCTGTGGTAAAAGGCAAATTTGGTACATTTGCTTCAAGTTGTTTCTAATTTGAAAAAAAAAAAAATAGACTGGCAGGAGATAAATTGGGGATCGTCCTGTCTCCAGGAACTGTGGGGAGTGGGGTGGAAAAACGGCATCTCCAGGAAGGCTGTATGGAGCCTGGACAGTGCTGAACTTTCTAAGAATCTTTCTTTTCTATTTTAAGACTGGGATCCAGAATATGGTGGCTTTACTTCCTACATCGCGAAAGGTGAAGATGAAGAGGTAAGGCCCTTGGCTGCTAGCTGCAAATTAGATAAAATTGTTGAGGGTGGAGAGCCATAATTACACTTTGTCATAATGCTAACATCATCCTGAGGGTGCTCGGTCTCGCACCCGCCTGAATTACCTACCGCTCGTGGGCGTAGCTCTGGCTTCAGCTTTGGGAGGCTAGTGTTCACCATACAGCTTAAGGCTCGGGCCCTGACAGTGTCTAATACCACCTGCGCCTGGTGGCATTTGGGAAGCCTCAGAGGGACACAAAGCTGTAGCAGAGATGGTGCTTTTCCGGGGAAGTGCTGTTTACTAGGGTCACATTCAGTATCAGTACTAGTGAGAGTGCTGAGCAGACATAAGAAGTCCAGAATCCCTTTCTAACAACTGCTTCAGGTTGAGGGGTATTAAAATGAAAATAGTGACATAGTTCATTTTCCAACAGCAGACCTTTGTTCTGACTAGCTTTTGAAATGGTTTTGTTTCTTTCTTGCTAGGAATGATACCAAAGCCATTTTTGTGACACTGATTTCCTCCCTTACTTTCATTCCTTCTAGCTGCTGACAGTGAATCCAGAGGACAACTGCTTGGCCTTAGTTTATAGAGACAAAGAAACTATGAAGTTTGTGAAATACATCAATCATCATAGCTTGGCTCGCCTGAAAAAGCATCCGAACAGAACGGGATTTTGGGATTTTTCCTTTGTCTATTACGAGTGATGGTGCAGAGCGTGACCGTCACACAGAAAACGGTGGTGGTGGTGGGCGGGGGGCAGGTTTCTACCCCGGCGTTCAGCTGGGGCCTGTCTAAGCCCAGACAAATGTGGCTGCTGCCAACTTCATCACACTGTACGGGCCGTTCCCTGCTAAGTAGGGTCCAGGTGACTTCTTTATTAACTGTACAAATGGAAATTCAGTCTCCTCCCAAGTGCTTTGTAACACGCACTCTCGACTGCTTTTAATGCTACGTGGAAGGGGGTCATCGTCACGCAACTCTGTCAGCTTTCCAGCTGTTCTCTTGTGGAAATAGCACGGTGGGATGCATCTCTAACCTGTCAGGGTGAAAATTACAACTGTGCATTGCCCCAAGCTGATGACTGATTTTATTAAAAAAAAAAAAAAGGAAATGGGTCAGCTAAATGCTTCAAAGTCTGGTTGGGCAAGTTTTGTTACAAAATGCCCAAGACATTTTCTGGGGCTTAGCTGCGTTCGCTGTTTGTAGAGGCAGAAATAAAGGAGCTGCCATGGGAAATAGGAGGTTTTTCCAGCTGCACAACTCTCTGGAGTTGGGAAGGAAGACAGCGAGGCTATAGAGCTGCTGGCATTGACGAGGACTTGGCACTGTAACAAGGAGCAGGACTTTATTATGCTAAATGCTGCGCAGACAGACCCAGATGCTGCCCTTTCTCCAAAGAATTTACAAGCTAAACAGACGAGAGAACGCTCCTGCGTCCTTCTCTACTTGTGTGGGTACCTGGATGGCTCCGTGCTTCAGCTGTGGAAGGGTTGTGGCCTCAGAACACGGGAGGTGGGCTGGCAGCAGGAGGGCGGTCACTCACCTCTCCCTGGCTCGTCATCCACAGGCAGTAGGAGGGTCCCCAACAGCATAGCCTCGCGTCGCATTAGCTTTGTCCTGGGGTCTGCAAAGCTCCAACATGGCTTCTGTCACTGGAGATCAGCTCAGATCTTTCCAGGGAGCAGATCCACAGCTCCTGTGGTAAACTGCAAGAAGGGCGGTGGTCTTGGTGCAGTACCTCCCCCCGCTACACACTTTCAGCACTGCTCACCTGCCCCACGGTCGCTGCAAGCAGGACTCTGCCAGACTGCAGCGTGCAGCCCACCAAAGGTGCTGTTGCAGAGCAGCGCTGGTTGCTTCGGGAGGCAGAACACCCCGCTGGAGGCTCGGCGCCAGCCTGCAGGTGCTTGCCTGAAAGTTTTACTTTTTGGCAACGAAGAGGCACAGGTGTACTTTTCAGCTCATCCAAGCCAGACAGTGCAGGCCATGGGCTTGCAGTGAGCTGGGTGGGGAGAGCGTGTGTGCGTTATTTTTCCTCCTGCCTCTCTTGGGTTGGGAGAGGGTAGCTTTGGATTAGTCTGCTGCCTCTCCAGTTCCAGGCCTGTTGAAGACCGGCGCAGAGGTGTAAGACCACGGCTGGCCGCAGAGCAGCAGTAAGCTCACAGCAAGGCTGGCTGTGTGGGCATGTAAATACTCTGCACCCCTCTCAGCACTGCAGCAGGACATCCTTCGGACATGCCTTCGTGAAGATACAGGAGCAACAACCTTCAGCTGGGATCCCAACACACAAGGTTTGAAAAGGAACCACTGAACCGTGAAGCTGCTGCCATTGCTTCTAAAATGAAAGGCGTCTCATGCCCCGCTGATGCCAGAGCAAGGGGAGAACACAGCCGTTTAGAGCCTGATGCACCGGAGTGTATGGTTTCAGTGTCAGTCCCATCCTGGACTACGAGCAGTTGCTCGGTTCTAGCCTTTCCCTCCCGCACCACTGGGCAGGGAAAACAGCTGGAACGTAGTTGCTCCAAGCTGCTATTGCAAGATCTACGCCGCCTTGTTCATATTCTGACTTGTCTCCCCAAGCTGGCTTCTCCGTGCACTGCCAAGACTTTCTTGCTTGGTTTTAATCTTCCTTTGCTACTGTTTTATGCTACTTACAAAGACAAGGGGATGAAGCTAGAAACAGATCCTGAAGTGAGGACAGGACTCCCTTCTGTGTGAATCACTGGTTTCTGAGGCACTCTGCTGCAGCTATTCTTGGGGAGAAAGAAGTTCTTATTCTGAACTGCTCCAGTAGAAAGAGACAAGTAGTGGAGGTTTCAAAGAAAAGAAAAAAAAAGCAAAATTGTTTGGGTCGTTTCGAACAAAGGTGACAGACACCACAGCTATTCACAGCATAGTCAGCTAGGCAAAGTGGGGAGTAACTTAATTAACAAAACAAAGTTACTTATTCTACTGCATTACCAACCTAAGAGTGTGCTTGGTAGATCCTGAAACAGCCTCCCAGAAGACTGGGAAGAAGCCGGGCTCTCTGAAGCTTGCTGCTTTTTAAGAATAAACAATACACTAGAGGGCATACCAGCCTCTACTTGAGCAAGCCCGTACCTATCTAATCGCACACGGAACCACCCTTCTGCCTCCGGTGACCGAGATGAAGTAATTTAAGAAGCCAAATTTGCAGCTAGCATTCAAAGATTTAAAAATCAACACGTCTCTGCTCTCCTGCCCTTCCTGTTCTGTCCCGAAAGCCAAAGGCAGCCCCACACATGGCTGGGGCGCAGGTACAGGGGAGACGCCGCTTGCCGAAATTTCAAATGACATGAGCTACTGGGGGAGAGGGGTCTTCCTTTAGACTGTGCCGATAATGGGAGCCCTCTCTGTAGCTGCTCTTGCTGGATACAAATTTGAATTTACAATTAGGTGTGGCTGCTTGCAAAGTACTCTGATCATTATGGAAAGGAATATGAAATATATACATACCCACAAAATGAGTAAGCAGGACAATATAGAAAAATAGGATTGAGAACAGTAAGTGAACGGAGTGTGAGCAAGAGAGAACAGAAGCGTCATACCGGGCACAAGATGGCCTCATGCAGACATCGATCAGCTCGGCTGTACAGGGACACACGTTTCCCACCAGCTGGCTGCACCTCCAAAGCCTGGCATCTGCTGCGGGGTACCGGCAGCTTTCAGTTACTGAAGCGCCGAGTTACGCAAATACTTCACAACAAATCTTTCGGGATTTGGTAGTTATCAGTTTGCCAAGTAGCTGAAAACAGGAACAATTCAATATGGAGCAAGGTAAAACAGTTTAGCTGTGGACCAGACTAAAGGAATAGTTTCGGCATTCATAAACATGCAGCAAAGTTCTGACATCGGGTATTCAGTGAATTAGTATTAAGTAAGATGAGCAGCAATCCACAGGACTTGAGACAGGCTAAGGTCAGATAACCTGTTGTCAAGGGTCAGTTCCAATTGTTTTGTTTTGTTGTTTTGTTTTTTTTAAACTCCAAACTGGAACTTGAACTAGGACATTGAAAATCACTGTTACACAGATCCCTCTTCAGCGGGCGCTGATCCAGCAGGGTGCTTCTGCAGTGTGTTTCCCAGGCAGCGAAGGGCCGTATGAGGAAGGCTCCAGCCCAAACTGAAGTGCCCCAGCGGGGCAGGACCGTGGTCTAGACCTGATCCCCAGCGCACGTACCGAGGCGCGGTGCCATCTAAGCAGCCTTGCCCGTGAATTTTTAGCAACACGCAGCTCTACCAGTGTGGTTTCAGAGGTTGTTCTGTACTTGACCAGCAACTTAACCTGCTGTGACCAGTTCCCTCCCGTACCCGAGATCGCTAGGTGTTAGTCCTGGGCTGAATCGTACCAGTGGGGACTGTTCCCACTGATCTCCTGGTGCGGGTTCAGCTTGCATCAGCCGGCTGCTGCGCGCCAGCCAAGGGCTGCTTTATTTCAACAGGCAACTGCGAACCCGGTATCACTTCAGCTTACGGGACATGGATTTTACATTTGGCAGAGATAAAAGTTGTTTTTATGGGAAAATAGATGACAAATTTGTTGTCAGAAACTCAGCCAGGGGAAATGAGCCTTATCAGAGGCCTGGACTGCGACCGAAGGACGGACCTCGCTGCCAAGAGCAAAACAGAGCTGGGACTGGAAGTGCCTGGTGTGTAGCCCTGAAAGTCAGGCTGATGGGAAAGCTGCTTTCTGATCAGAGCCACTCTCTTATCATTGAATGGACTACGTAAATGTAAGTAAGCAAGCATTAGGATTTTGAACGTGAAGAACAAAAGAAGAGGTTGAAACAGTGGGAACAGGTACAGCAGGTGGCAGAAAGCCCAGCACTTATGCCAGGAGACTGTTCCATAATCAAGCCTTAAAGCTCGCTTGCTTAGAACAGCATGGGTGGCTCACCACCCCTTTTACCAAAGAGCTGGATTTGACTAACGACCAGGTTCTTAAAAGGATTCAAATGAGCTCCCGCTGCAGATCTGAAGTGACAGAGATCTCTGCTTTTGGCAGCGCAGTTCTCTGTACTGAAGGGGCTGAAGCAGCGGCAAGAGGCCGTTTTGGGGATTAAAATATTGCAAGAATTACGTTCCCCATCCAACTAGTTGCATGCTCACCAATTGCTCTGTAACAAATGGTGGGCTGCTGGCTTTAGCTCAGTAGTGGCAAGTAAGAGACAGACCAGTTACAGGACACGAACACTGACAGCCCCGACAAGCTACCCAAGAACTTCGCTTCACAGAGGTGGACCGTCTCCCCCCTGCTGCAAACACCGATCCACACAGTGGTAATGTGATGAATGGTGCGGGAGCTAGGAGCACTGGGGCCCAACCTCCATCCCGCGCAAGATATTTTTAGCTTCTGGAAGAAATTTGCTTTGGCAAAGGTTCTAAAATATCTTTAGATCTCAGATACAGCCTTACTGTAATATTTTAATGCAATTCTAAGAAATCCCACAATTAATAAACAGGTTTGAGCCAGGAGCCAAGAGATTTTTCAATACCTTCTTCTTTTGATCCCATTAAGCACTGCCAGCTCTTCATAAGTATGCACCAGCTTGGGTGTGTAGTTTGTGTTTGTTGTTCCTGAAATGCGCCCTTGTCCACCTCAGTACCTGCAGTTTTTTCCAGCAGCGGCACCACGGAACCAGTAGCTGGAAGCAAAACTTCCTGCAATCCAGGTGTAGGGAGAGTGTCGGATATGAAACAGACTGCTTCCTACCTGTGTGGATCGTGCAGCTGGACGGCT